CTACAGACTTTGTATGGAGGGGAAAAACGAACACAATGACCAAAACTGCACGCGGAACCGTCCGTGTGGAGCCTCGCCACCGCCCACCTTGGCCATGGCCGAGCCGCAATCCATCCTCGCGAATCGGCGACGCCTGGCCTGGACCTTGACAAGAGTCGGTCTCGACAAGCGCGCCGTCTTCGTCATGCTCAGCGCGGTTCTTCCCTCGGTCACAAGAACGTATAGGCAGGGCGGCCTCCGCCAGAGCGGCACGGCGCGGCGTGCCTCACGGCGTCCTCGCGTCCTCGTCGCCGCCGGAGGCTCTCTTGCCGATGGTCGCCGCTGCCTCGGGGCCCCCGAAGCGGGGACTTCTGACAAGCCAGGCTGCTGGCGCGCCCGCGGGGCGAAACATTCTCCGGTCTTCGTTCTCTCCGGTTGGACCTTGTTAGGGGCCACATGCGAGCCCCACCCCCACCTCCCACGACTTCTGAGGGGGAGGGTGTCGGGGTAGGGTCCGCATGTGGCCCCCTAACCCCGTCGAAATCCTGGCCAGCAGTGCTCCGGTTTCGGGGGGCCCTGCCGTCCTCGACCTCCGCGGCCGCCGCCTCTGCGGCCTTGAGCCGCGCCATCTCCGCGGCGCCGCGCTCCTGCGGGGGCCGGGGGCCCTCTCCGTCTCCTCCGCCGCCCTCTCGGCCACCCCACGCCCCCCGGCGAAGCAGCGGCAGGTACAAATGTCGTGACGCCACCGGCGCTGGTTCCCGACACCGCGTGGAGCCGTGAACGCCTACGGCGGGGTCGTTGCCGCGTCGACGCGACGCGGACCTGCCGTATCCACAACCGCCGCCCGCCAAAGTCCCCGAAGAGCGAGGGCGGCGGCTATGGAGAAATCCCTGGCTCGGATCCTCTGCTCCTCCTCCTCCTCCTCCTCCTCCTCCTCCTCCTCCTCCTCCTCCTCCTCCTCCTCCTCCTTTCAGCAGCGCGTGGGGGCGCAAGCCCGAGATAACTGTTGCTGCTCCTGGAGGGGGGGGGGCGGCGCTCGGGGGGAGACCGCAACAACGCTGAGAGATGTGCCGCGCGCTGGACATTGCGACGTGGGCCCATTCCAGAATGCGTGCTCCGGTGCGGGTCGTCCTCGCGCCTCGTCGCCGTCGTCGTCGTCCTGGTCGTGGTGCGTGCGACTCTCCTCGGGGCTTGTCTCCTGACCGCAGGGACCACCACCACCACCCCTCCACGTCCTCGTCCTCCCGCTCATCCTCATCCCCTTCGCCATCCCCCTATCCCCGAAGCGGGCCGTGAAGCTCGAAGCGCGACTACAGTCGCCCCTTCGTGGGTGACACAGCTAGAAAACTGGCCACTCCGACGGTAGGACCACGCAGGGCCCCACATGGGAATCTCAACAATTAGCTTGAAGTAAGCCTCATCGTCGTCCTTGTGAATGCAAGGGCTCTCTTCCTGTCTCCTCATCGCCATTCTCTTGTTTGCCCTGGCGGAAGCCCTCTCCCCGCCCCTTGCTCTGCCTCCTCCTCCTCCTGCCTCCCCTCCCCCGTCCACCCCCCCGCCCGCCCCTCTGGCAAAGATCCTCGTCCTGCCAAAACTGAGCTCGTGCCCCCTTGCCCACAAGCACGGAGGGCGGGCTTTGGCTGACGGGCAGCTGCACATGCGGCCGAGCATGGGTTATCAACCCCAGCCTGGACGCAACGGTTTCCCCCTGTGCCCGGTTCGGGCGCGGCTGGGTTACCGCCCGCGCCCTGGACGCAAGGGTTCCCCCGCACGTCCGATTCGGCCGCCGATCGGTTGCCACCGGCGTCACAGACGCAAGGATTTCCTCCTGCGCCCGATTCGTGCGCGGATGGGTTACCACCCGCGCCCCCGACGCAAGGGCTCCCCCCTGCGCGCGATTCGTGCGCGGATGGGTTACCACCAGTGCCCCCGACGCAAGGGTTCCCCCTTTCGCCCGATTCGGCCGCGGAGCGATCACAACCAGACTCGGACGCGGATGGGTTACCACCGGCGTCACAGACGCAGGGATTTTCTCCCTGCGCCCGATTCGGCCGCGGATGGGTTACCACCCGCGCCCCAGACGCAAAGGTTTCTCCCTGCGCGCGATTCGTGCGCGGATGGGTAACCACCCGCGCCCTGGACCCAAGGATTCCCCCTGCGCCTGGTTCGGCTGCCGATCAGTTACCAGACGCACCCTGGACGTAAAGACTTGCCCTTGCACCCGTTTCGTGCGCGGATAGGTTACCACCCACGCCCTGGACGCAAACCTGCGTCCGATTCGGTCGCCGATCGGTTGCCGCCGACGTCCCGGACGCAATAATATTCCCCCCTGAGCCCGACTCGCACGCGGATGAGTTATCGAACACATCAAAAACTACACTTAGCAAAACTCCACCCAGTTGCGGGGACCAGGGGGGGCAATCAAAATTCGATTAGGCGCGCTGGTCGGTCTGGGTGGACGGGCACCGCCTCGCGACCTACGACGGGGGGCGCTGGTCATGCGAAACACGTGGGGCGCCAAGCGTTGCAACTATCAGCATGTTTCACGGCGGGGCTAAGCGGCTGCTGCAACAGGAAATGATAACGCGAACTGCCGCTTCATCCGTGGAGGGGGGATCCAGCACGGAAAAGAATTCGAAGGCGTGGGGCGTCTGGCCAGGCATTTACTTACGGCACGCATAGAACCGATCGCGGCTACAAAACTTGGCGAGACACGGGGATGAGGTGGAAGTGGAAGGACATATTGAAAGAGGCTGCTAAGGCACGGAGACACGAGACGAGGGAGGATATCACGTCTGAGGCAAAGCGGCGCCCCAAAGCACAGAAAACACTGGGGTCATCATACTGGGGCAGAGGCGGGGAAGGGCAGCGGGCAGTGCGAGGCGGAAAAGGACAGCGGCCATGCAGGTGGTTTCGCTGAGCCTGAGGAAGTGGGAAGTACTGGGGGCACTGGGGGCACTGGGGGTTCCTCCTGTAGCCCATCATGGGTCCCACGAGCGCTGGTGGTCGCTACGACCTCTGACCTTGTTCTGGATCCCTCCATCCTCTTTGCCCCCCCGTGATCAGGGCAACTCGCCTGGTGACGATGTTTCGAGGATTTTAAAAGATATGCGCGCTCCGCCTCCGCCTCCTAATCGCGAGTTGTTATTTCTGATTCCACGCCGACTCTGGCTAGCGACGTCGAGGCCCTCGCAAATCCGACAAACGCGATGACCCCCCCTCGAATGGCGGGCAAAACGAACTTTGGAACGATAGCCCAAAATTAATTTTGAAATTTCGGGATCCGCGGGAGAAACTAATCCACTCGCCCAAAATGTAGCTCTCTATCTGTCCGAAGTTACCGCTCGCGCCCCAGACGCAGGGATTTCCCCCCTGCGCCCGACTCGACCGCAGCCCGACGCATTCGTTCGTACTGCGAGCGTTGCAACGACAGGGGGGGCCCAGAGGGAGGGGGCTCCCGCCCAAGACGTCCTCGCTATTCACTCACAAACGAGGCTCCCGCTCGAGACTTCTTCCAGGTTCGGGCCTGAAGAACCGAAAGCTCATAACAGTTATAAGGTTTGGACGGCCCCAAGCGGGTTCGAACGTGAAGGTCGGGACCCAATAGGGAAGCGCTGCCGCTTAACACTTCTTCGCGATTCACTCAAAGACAGAGCCCCCGCTCGAGACACCCGTCATCTTCGGGTCCGAAGAGCCCCAAAGTGACGACACCTATAAAGTTTGGGTGGCCCTGTTCGGATTGGAGCATGGAGGTCAGGGCCCCGCAGCGGGAAGATTCCTGCTCGAGACTACCTCACCATCCACTCACAGACGAGGCCCCCGCTCGACATTTCCTCCATCCTCAGGCCCGAGGAGGCCAAACATGACGACGAATAAAAAATTGTGGTGGCCCCGCTCGGATTCGAACGTGCAGGTGGGGACCCCATTGGGGAAGGCTTCCGCTCGAGACTACCTCGCTGTTCACTTCACACGAGGTTCTCGTTGAGCTGTCCTGAATGTGTGTAAGTGTGTGCGATGAGGATGATGATGATAATGATGGGAATGATGAGAATGATGATGATGATGCTGATGATGATGATGAGTATGCTGGTGATGTCGATGATGAGGCGGACGGTGATGACGATGAGGATGGTGCTGCTGCTGATGATGATGATGAGGATGGTGGTGATGATGATGCTGCTGATGATGATGATGGTGTGGTGAGGGCGCGTGCGCGTGTGAAAACACGGTGCGATGACGATGCTGCTGCTGATGATAATGATGATGACTGATGGCCATGATCAGATGATGGTAGCGATGGGCGATGGGAACTGTGCTGGCAATTATTACCTTGCTGGTAAGGGTGATGACTGACTTACTGCGCTGTAGGTAATCGGGTGCACTTCGCGGGCCTGCTGCGAAGTTAAAGTCGCTGCATAGCTCTCAAACGAGGCGGAAGGACGCCAAGTCAAGGCGAACAGACAGAGTGAAGCACTTGTCAAATGTCGCTTATGGCTGCGTCTGCCGATCAAGTTTCACCGCGGGCCAGTGTTTCCTTGGCAGCTGCCCCCTGCTTCTCGCCAGCGTCTCCGACCGCATCGGTTGACCGCCTGGACAACTGACCCGCTTTCGCATGCACCCTCCACCGCTGTCAAGAATATTGCAGGCGGTGAAAAGGCCCGCGCCCAAGTGAAATATGCAAACCCAAATGCTGGACAGCGCGAGCCTTTTACATACCAGCGTGCCTCCATGCGCACAGCGTGCGCACATCTTCTGTGGGCCACGAGCCCACGTGAACCCTTGCAGCCGCGCCCGCATTGAGGGCAATCAACTGCATTAGAGGGGGCGGTGTCAGCTGGGGGGCGCGACGGCTGCTACCCCCGCGGCCAGCGGCGACGAGGGTTACGAGCACGTCTTGGGATCCACCGCCGAAGCTCTCACAACAGGCGTCGCCAAAGGCGAAGTAGAGCACGCGCGAACTGCTCTCGCATCCCTGGCGACCAAGCCGGATCACCTAGCTGCGACAGGCGCGCGGGAAACGCCTTCGCCACGCGACGGGGATCTGCGAGCAATTGCCTTGCCGATGGGGGTTTCGGCCAGGCTGCTACCAACGCCTGTGCAACTGGAGGCCCTGCTCGTACCATCGATGGGAGTGATTCCTGGGGCGTCGAAGTCATTTGACACTTGTCCACCTGTGCCAGTACCGTCGCGCCCGGACCTCATCTGTCCAGCGATGCGGCGGATCACGCGGTGGTACTGGGTGAGACCAGCTGCGCGGCGCGATCGTCAGCGCCTTTCCAAGCTGCAACCCCGAAAGGGGATCTTGAAGCAGATGAGGCGAATGGCGACATGTACTCGCGCTTGTACGGATCTGGAAGTGCTGCCGAAGATAGGGATGGCCAGTGCGGCACGGGCCCGGTGAGCCGACGCGACCTTGGACCTCGAATTTGCCAGGTGGCGGCCAGTGTCCTGAACCACGGCCCCCAAAAGCTTGAAGTGGGACACCGCGTCGAGGCTGCGGAACGCATCTACCATGAATCGCTCCTCGCCCCCCCCCAGATGCGCTGCCGTCCTCCAGGGGCCAGCGCCGCGCAAACGGCGCATCTCTGCTGATCTACCCGGTCCGCAAATGATCTGCAGCCCCACGCGGCATCCGCGATCTGGTCGCCCAGCGCATCCGGCGAGCGCGCCAAAAAATGGAAGGGGGCGGCGTCGACAAACCTAAATCATCCGAGACCGGTCATTGTCGGCACCAATCTGGGCGTTCGTCGATCTACACTCGCGACCGGATGTTGGATTTTCCGGTAGCGTCTGGGGATTGCTGATAGTTAAGCGCCAATTTGGAGGGCGAGATTCGGTGGCGGGGAAAAGAAGTTCGGCAGCGAATCCGATGCGAAAATCGGTAGCGCGGACTCGAAATTCAGTCGCGGGAAATCGAAGTTCGATGCCGCGAGAATCTGAACAATCACCACTGCAACCGATATCCGTACTCGTCGAAGCCCAGCAACGGCGATCGCGATATTCGGTAACGGCGATCACAAAATCCGGAAGCGCCGAACCACAAGTCGGCAGGGACGACGCGTTCAAACTCGGCAACGCCGAGACTAATTTCGGTGGCGCGCAGCTGGCTTTCAAGCGCAATTTCGGTCGGGCACGGAATGCGCTCGACACCGGTTTCGAGCGCTCATTTTCGGCAGGTCGGTCGGGGCCAGATCCTGGATGCGCTGCCAAAAAAAATATCGGATGATCTGGGAACTCCTCGTCTGGATCGAAAGAGAGAACTCCTCCCTTCCTGCGCGCGGTCTACTGCGGACGCCCACGGGGCGAGCGGGCCGCGCGGTAGCCAGAGGTGGAGGCGGAGTCCGCGAGCATCGAAGCGCTCGCGGCTGCGACGTTGAAGAACATGGCGCCGAGCCTGCAGACTCGCCTGGCGCCCCAGGGACCTACGCTCGCCCTTCACGCGCGCGCGGCAAATCACGTGCCCGCGTGCCAATCGGCAGCGCGGGCAAGCTCAGCCAGGGTCATGCCAGTTTCCTCCAGGTTCAGGAAGCTGGGTGAAGCCTCCAAAAGGCGCTGCGCCTCGCCCGCAAACTCGGAGGGGGTGTCCCGCGCCGCGAGCTCGAGGCCGAGCGTCGACTCGTCGCGATGGCCAAGCCCGCGCAGGCACTCGTTGACGCGGCTATCGGACGCCTGATGTAGGTCCAGGAAGGTGATCGCAAAATTGCTGCGTTCGTGAATCGCGCGCTCAACGATCGCCTGGAGAACGGCCGAAAGAGGCGCGGAGTCCTGGCCAGCGGTAGCGCCGCATTGGACGGCGCCCGCCGCTCGAGGATGCACTTCCAAGAGCGGCGTCGACAAGTCTTACGCGCCCAGCTTCGCAAGGTGGTCGGCCACCAGGATGCCCCGGCCGTGGTTCGGCTCGGCCCGGTCTGTCTCGCGCTTCCAGACGTCAAATAATTCCCCTTCGTCGAGTCGCGCTGGAGCACGACGTGCGGACGCCGACAGGTCGAAGAGCAGGATTCTCAGTCTAGAGCCTACTCCTGACTTGCGCGCCAGACCGAAGCAGTGATTGTGTCGGGCCCAACGTACTTGCGGACGCTGAGGCGACTGAGGTGGCGAGCGACTTGCTCGCGCGGGGAGATCGGCGAGAGGCAGCGCGTCGCCCCAGAACAGGTCTGCCCAGCGGCGGCACCACCGCTCGCGAATGGCAGGGGGGCTCCAACAGTAACGTGCCATCATCGCGCCAGGCCCGAGCGCGCGCTCGGACCCCCTTCGGCGTCCGCAGAGGGGGGGGCGACCTCGGAGAGGACTTTGGCATTGCCATTTTCGTCCAGAGGACCTGCTCGCGCCCGGAGCCACTCGCCCCAGGCTCTGTGGTCGGTCCTGGTGAGCGCGCCAGCGTGGATGCAGTGGGCGGCGAGCTCGCTGCCGGCCACTGCCGCAAGTCGACGGGAGCGGGCCACCTGCGCCCAGTCGCCCAGGGCATGCTGCCACCTGTGGGGGGGGGGGGCGCTGCGACAGCCCGATCTGTCCCTGCCACGCCCACCGAAGAGTGTCCTAGGCTAGGCGGCACTTGGTGGCTACCGACGCCCGCCTCAGTGCGAGGGTTTTCCAGACTACCTTTCATGTGCCCGAGGTGATCCACAGATTCTTCTGCACCACTGAAATGCACCTCCTGGAGTCGGCGGACCCTTCAGGTGAGCTCCTGGTGGTTGACGTCTTGCCCACCAGCATGCAATTTCGGGATGGTCCGCTTCAGAGCCGCCAGCCCAGGGCGAAATGCATCGCAAACTGCTGGGTCTGGCAGCATGGCCAGGTCCACGAGGCGGCGGTCGGTTGAGGCACCAGAGACAAAAACCTCGTAGCAGATCTGCGCCCAAACTGGGAGGTGGCCCTCCTGGTCACTGAAAGAGATCGATTCCTGCAGCACCCCGCAGTCGAGGGCGCGGCGAATCCAAGCTGCCGATGCCCAAATATGGTCGGAGCACTTGTCATGGCCAGAAGTCCCGAACCAAGTTGGCTCGACGTTCCCCAGAAACGTCGCGACGTCAACGAGGTCGAATGCCTCTGGGTACTCCGCCGCCGCTGCATTGGAGCTCGGCCCCTCGATCGCGTCGTAGTAGTTCGCGTCGGTGAAGACCAGGAGCTCCGCCTGGTTGTTGACCTTGCGAGTCTATGCCCATAGGGAGGCCCAGAACGCCCCCCGCTCTGCCACTGGCGAAGGGGGGGGGGGGGCGCCACTGTAGCTGAGAATCCACATGCAATTCGCGAGCACTCGAAGGGCAGCCGCCGTGAAGATATGCACGGCAACCCACATGCACGACGCCGTGCCGGTCGCGATGGAGCCAGAGACGCGGCCCTCCCAGGCCGTCCTCCGCGGCTGGGCCCATGCTTGCGCAATACATACTGTGGGAGGTCCTACAGCCGGCCCTCCCGGAACCCGGCAGCCATGATCCCATGCCGGTGCAGGCGCCCGTCCACAAGCTGCATGCGCGCTTTCGTGTTGAACCCAATTCGACGGACCTGGCGGCGCTTTTCGGGGTCCAAGGTCTGGGCGCTCAGGGGCGCGAGTCGCATCTCCTCGATGGGTGCCGTCTCGGCGCATCGGCCCTGGCGGCACTGCCATCGTGTTTTGGGATAAGCGCAGGCCTCCCAAGCACCATGCCCTGCAGCTGGGCTGGTAGTGCACTTTCGCGCGGGTGCAAAGCAACATCCCGCTCGACATGGCACTTTCTCCCCCGCGGCTCGCGGTGGGGAGGGGCTCCTCGACGACAGGCCCAGAGCGCTCTCAGCAGGCGTCTGGCGCGTCTGGCCTCGACAGCGATGCAGGGCGTTTGGGCCACGTTGGCCCGACCGGAGGTCTCGCCGCATAAAACCCCCCAGCCTGCACTCCCGCGGCCGTCGCCGCCAGTGGCGGACGACCACCTTCCTCTTGAGGAAGTAATCGGTCACCTTCTCCTTGCGCGGCTGCTTCCCTATGTGTCCCACCAAGCACGACCAATGCCCAACGCAGGTCGAACGCGTCTGTCGCGGGGGGCCCGTCTCGGAATGTCGCTGGACCGCCGGGGGCTGCGACGTCGTCCACTCCTAAGTCTGACTGTCCGCCAAAACTGTAGCTACGCCACGACAGTTCATACACAGACGCCCTCCGACGAATTTTGCGTGCACCTCCCTACGTATAATACCGCTGGCTCTCAGTGGTGACTTATACACAGGTCCCCCCTTGAGGCCCGGGAACAATCCAATGGAGGATGTTTGTGTATATTCTCGTGGCGGAGAAGCCTCGTATATCCCCTCGAAGAGCAGTTCAACATGCCTCTCCGCAGCAGCGACGTGTGCTGGGAACGCGCATGGGGCTCGTTCCTCGAGTCCTCGACCATGCCCGACAGGGCCTCGTGGAGAGCGGGGCCGTCGACAGCTCCTCGGAGGGGCACGCGAGGCTGATCTCGTGTTCCTGGAGCTGCTGGGCAACTTCAGCCGCTGCCTGGGCATCCGCACTGCGTGCCTTGGCCCTGTTCAGTGCATCCTACGTGCCGTCGTGCCAGACGCCCATGGGCTTGCTGGCGGCGAGCGGGGTCGGAAGTGAGAAGGAGAAGGCCTTCTCAGAAGGCGGCGGGACTTCTCAGAAGTCGTCGCGCCTTCTGAGAAGTTTTTCTGTACTCGGGGATGGCTTAGAAAACTTCTCTCAGAAGGCCCGGGGACTTCCGAGCCTTCTAAGAAGGCCCGTCCCTTCTCGCTTCCCCCCCTCGCTCGCCGCCGAGCTTGGCAGGGATGATGTCCCGCTCGAGGTTCTTCGCCTTGCTTGCCAAAGCTGCCCGCTCCGCTGCAGAATCCGGCACATGCGGGAGGGCCTGCTGAAGACTGCTCCGCTTCCCTGAACCAGGCGGACAGGCCCATGGGCTTCAGCCCCCGCGCACCAACGGGCGCCGTGGCTGCCGGGGTCGGCGGAGCTTGCGGCAGGGCCATGGGCGCAACAGTCTCCTCCCTCGGCGTGTCTGGTTGCACCGCGCTGCCGATGTGCGTCAGGGAGGTGGTGAGCTTCGTGAGCTGCTCGCGAACCGAGCCCTGCCCAGCCCCCCCAGCTGGCGCCGAGCTGCCCGTGGCTCCCGTGCATACGCGGCGAAACCCACACCGAGAGCACGCCTTTGGGGAGTTGTTGGTGTTGCCACACTGGGAACAGACCCACCGACGACGGTTGGTCGGCCACGAACCTTCCTGCTGAGAACTGGCGGACCGCGTCCAGCGCCCCGCCTGGCCCTGCGACCGGCCCGACCATGCGCCCTTCCACGCCCTGGCGGGAAGAGTTACAGTGGAGGCCAGCCCACAAGAAACCTTCCACAAGAAAGCCAACCCTCAGACCCCAGGACGCCCAACGACTTCGGGTATGGGAACGTCACGCTCTCCCTGGGGAAGCCATCGAAACCCACGAAGCCCAGGGCACCCTGGAGGCAAGCGGGGTGCTCCTTGGCATGGGCCTCCACTGTGGCAGCAAGCCCGCAGGCGCCTGCCGCCCACGCCGGGGCTTCCGCCCAGCGTCTGTCCGCGCGGCGTCCGGCAGAAGCGGGCGCCGGCCTCGCCCCGGGGAGAGCGGCTGCGCGCCTGCGGGCCGCTGGGAGCTCGGCGGCCTCGGTGGTGTAGAGCATGTGCGGCTGATGGACAAAATCCTGCACCCTTTTTGTTGTTCTTTGTTTTCGCCCCCCGCGCCCCCAACTTAACATTGGCAGGCTGTTGCGCGATTTGTCGATCTGTCGACCGGCCTAAATCCTGCACCCCACGGGCGCAGCCAATCAACAGTGAATCGGGGGCAGGGGGGCGCGTGGAAGTTTGCGCGATCGCCCCAGCTGTGCGGGCGGTGAAGGATGTTGTCCATCAGCCGCAGGTCACGAAATTGCCGCTGACGAGGAACGCCAGCGCGGTGAGGAGGGTGAGACATATTGCCTTCCAGCCTGCAGGCGCGGACGCGATGCCGGCATGCACACCCCGCCCCCCCCGTAGGCTTGCGCTTTGGATCAAATCTCCCCCTGATGATGATGATGATGATGATGATGATGATGATGATGATGATGATGATGATGATGCGGATGGTGATGCTGATGATGATGGTAAGTGTAATGATAATAATGCTGGTAATGGAACTGATGATGATGATGATGATGATGATGATGATGATGATGATGATGATGATGGTGATGGTGATGGCAATGATGATTACGATGATAACGACGACGGCGGTACTAAGAATGATGATGATGACGTTGATGATTCACTGCATCTGAGACGGTTCGGAGCTCAATCTCAAAAGCCGCCCGACTAATGATGATGCTGATATTGCTGCTGCTGATGATGATGACGATGATGCTGCTGATGATGATGATGTAGGGTGGTCCAAAACATTGTCGCTGACGAGGAACGCCGGCGCTTTGAGGAAGGTGACCCAGCTTGCCTTCCGATCTGCAGGCGCAGGCAATGCTGGCATGCATGCCCCCCCGCTGGCTTACGCTTTGGATTAAAACTCTCCATGGTAATGGTGATGAAGATGATGGCGATGATGGTGGTGGTGGTGATGTTGAGGATGATGACGATGATGATGATTCTCTGCATCAAAGACGGTCAGGCGCTCAAGCTCAAAGGCCGCCCGAATGCTGATGATGATGATGATGATGATGATGATGATGATGATAACGACGAGGATGATGACGATGACCGTTATGACGATGATAACAATAATGATATCGATAACGATAGTGCTGATGATGACCATGATGATGATGACATATCACGATGCTTGTAATGATCAAACATGTGATAAGTTTTGATGATGTTGGTGATGATGCTGATGTTGACGATGATGAATATGCTGATGATGATGATGCTGATGGTGTTGCTGATGGTGATGGGAATGGTGATGATGACGATAATAATGAGAATGATGATGCTGATGATGATGATGATGGTGACGCTGATGATGATGATGATGATGATGATTCACTGCATCAAAGACGGCCAGGAGCTCAAGCTCGAAAGCAGCCCGAATGCTGATGATGGTGCTGATGATGATGACGAAGATGAAGCTGATAGAGATGATGATGATGATGCTGATGATGATGATGATGATGATGATAATGATGATGATGATGATGATGATGATGATGATAATGATGATGATGATGATAATGATGCTGATGGTGATGGTGATGATAATGATGACGATGATCATGGTGACGACTCTGGTGATGGTGATAGTGGTGATGATGCTGATGGTGGTGATGATCATGACTATGATGATCATTATGAGGATGATGCTGATGCTGATGCCGATGCTGATGGTGATGATAATGGTGATAATGGTGATGATGATGATGATGACGATGTTGTTGATCCTGATGGTGATGATGATGATGGTGAGGTTCATAATGGTGCTGATGGTGATGGTGGTGGTGGTGATGTTGATGATGCTGAGTATGATTATGGTGATGAATTTGATGATGGTGATGATGATGCTGATGCTGATGATGATGCTGCTGCTGATGATGATGGTGATGATGATGACGATGATGACGATGATGATGATGCTGCTGATGCTGCTGCTGCTGCTGCTGATGATGATGATGATGATGATGATGATGATGATGATGATGATGATGATGATGATGATGATGATGATGATGTGGGGGTGTTCATGTCCTGAGTTCCTGCGCGGGGGCAGAGAAAACAATAGATGTGGGGAATAACGACAACAAAAATCAGCACAAGCGTAAGATGTCGGAGATCCGCGCGGATTTCTTGGAATGGCGCAGGGCCCCATCCCTGGCGCGCGGAGCACCTCGGGAGCGGCGCCGAATGTGCCGCCGCGGCGGGTTTCAGCGCCGATCCAATAAATCCGCGTAGACCTCCGACACAGTGAAATTCATATCGTCTCTCATCTTTGAATACCTCCTCACATCCTCCACCCTGGTGACCTGGACATACTGAACACAGATTGTTCTCCAGGGTCCTTCGTCCTCACCAGGGCCTCTATCTCGTCGGCGTACCTCTCGTAGGTGCTGAGCTTCCCGATGTGGTCCCCAGCGTAGAAGTAGCTGCTGATCGAGTAGACCAGGAGGCCAAGGATAAATGCAGCGTCCACTTTGGAGCCGAACAACAGCATGCTCGTAAGGGTGGTGGTATAGAGAATCAGCGAACCACCAAAACACTTAACCACATTGTCGAAATATTTCATGATCATTGAAACCGAAATGCCCAGAAGCGCCGTCACACAGACGCGCCGATCCCTTGGGGACTCACCGGCATGTGAGATTCCAAGCACCGAACCCGAGCGGCCACGAAGCAGCTCCCAAAACTAGATCAGCGGAGGGCGGAAATCGGCTACACGCAAGAGAGACCCCAGTCAAGAGCGACGTTTGATGCGCGGACCGAGGGGGCGCAAGGTGGCCAAATCCAAGCGCGCAATTAGCTGCTATCGCATCGCGCTCGGCGATCGGACGGACCCTGATGAGCCCGCACCCACGGTCACTCCGGCGAAGGGTCACTCCCAACGTGTGGTTGAGGGAAGGAGGGCTCGGCTCCACATGGCCCCCGAGCCTGGGTCAGCTAGGAGGGATCGGACGGGATTGGCAGACCCCCAGTAGCGCCGACCGCAGATACGTGACCCTCGCCTTAGGTCGGGCATGTCCTCCTACAGACAGATTATGGACGGAAAATGAAGAAATACACCACACATAGCCCAAGCAACTCGAACCCATATTATGTGTTTGTTCGACTGTCTTTGAATCCTCCTCCAGCAGAGGAACATGCCCGACTTAACCCTCGCCCCAACAGCTCCCCTGCGAGCCCAGCCCGGTCCATCTGGACGGGGGGGGGACGGACTGACGGCCCCCGCGGACTCATCTGCTCCAGAGTCCCACCAGCTCTCTGGGCGTGAGCGGTTTGGAGCGCTTCCCCTTCGGGCCCCCTCCTGCCCCGTCTTCGGCGGCAACTCATGGGAGCCTCCCAAACCATCTTGTCGGCTCTTGCGAATCGACACCGGTTGACGTATACTAAATCGACGCTACTAAGTCGACGCTAATCGACGCTAGCCGACACTAAATCGACACTCAATCGGCGCTATCTCATCGACTCCCAGACGCTGATCGACGCTAAAGACGGAATTAAAAGGGTATACCAGGCTCCCATGATTTGCCAGAGAACCCTTCGGGAAGGGGTTGATCAGTGTCCCCCATGTATACACACACACACACCCGACCGGCGACAAGCCCAGGCCAATGAGGCTCCCGCAAACACCCCTGGCAAAGAACAAAACAAAGCGCACCTAGCAACAAAGCCTGGATCATGCGCGGGCGCCCCGCCGCGATCACTCTGCAGTGGTTCCTGACCGGGATGGCGGGGGTGCCCTCAGACCGTCCGCTCCGTGACGGCCTGCCATCCCCGCCAACACACGATGCCACACACACACACACTTTGCAGCAAACTCTGGACCGTGCGCGGGCGCCCCGTGAGCACCCTGCGTCTGTCTTTGACGCCCTCGGAGTGCCCACCCTGGCAGTTCAATGCAGGGCGCACTGTGCCGCAAAAGCTGGTTCGTGCGCGAGCGCCCCGCGATTATGCTGCGCTGGTGTTTGACAGATGGGGCGGCGGGGGGGGGCCCTCGTATTGTCTGCTCTGTGCTTCCGACGGGACTCCTGAGCTGAGTGGGATCGGGGCCCCAGGCTCGGATGCTGCCTGTGTGTTGGGAGGGCGGGCGGGAGTGAACGACACGGCTTGCGGCTCGGGGTAGCTTGACCCCTCCTCCCGCCCCCTCCCCTGGACATGGACCGGGCGCCCCGCGAGGTGTCAGAGAGCTGTGCGGGACCCAAGACGGCTCCAGGAGGGCCTCAGGGAGCCCAACATGACTTCCAATATGGCTCAAGATATCCAAAGACATCCGAAGATGGCTCAAAATGGCTTCCACCATGCTCCAAGAGGCTCCGAATTAGACCTTTCCAAAGCGGCTCCACGCGGCCACGGAGCTTCCAAAAGAAACCACCAGAAGGCTAGAATAATTCAACGGCCTACGGAAAATCAATATGTGGTGGGCATTCTCGCCGTCTCGCTTTCGACGCCCCCCCTCCGAGGTCTTAAGATGACTCCAAGAAGGCTCCGAGAGAGCCCCAAGAGGAGCCCAAGAGAGTCCCAAGCTGGCCCCAAGAGCGCCCAAACAGGAGCCCAAAAGGCGATTTCAAGGGCTCTAGAGGGACGACCCTAATTGAGGACCCCCCATTCTATCATCGATCCCCTCCCCAAGACGGCCCCCAAGGCTCCCAAGAGTACCCCAAGAGGCGTCCAGGAGGCCCCAAGAGGTCCCCAAGGGGCTTCCAAGAGACCTCCAAGAGGCCCCCTCGAAGCACCCAAGACGCTCCAAGAGGCCCTTGGGACCCCCAAAAGGCCTCCACAAACGCCCCAAGAGGACTCCAAGAAGCTCTCAAGAGACATCCGAAGAGACTCCGAGGGGCATCCAAGCGGACTCTGGCCTTTATGATCGCCCTCCTCCTCCTCCTCCTCCTCCTCCTCCTCCTCCTCATTCTCCTCCTCCTCCTCCTGATCCGTCGATTCCTCTTCCTCCCTCCTCCCTCCTCCCCCTCCCCCTTCCCTCCTCCTGCTCCGCCCCCTCCTCCATCTTTTTTTCTCTTGGGGATGACGGCTTCACCAACCCTTGATTCCACTCCATGCTCCTCCACATCCCGGATGGGGGCAATTCGCCTGGGCATATTGTCTGGATGGGCTGGCGAGGTCACGCGAAGCGTCCAGAATAGCTCCCAGGCGCGCTCACGTTGTCCTAAGTGGCTCCACCACGGCCCATGGGAGTTCAGAGACGGCCCACACGGGCTCCAAGACGGCCGCTGATGGCTGTAAGTTGTGCCCAAGAGGCCCCAAGACAATACAAGAGGGCTCCAGGAGGTCCCCCCACAGGGTACCCAGAGGAAATAGCTATTAACCTCAATACGAGGATGCTAGGTTTCTCTCTTGCTGTGGCTTCCGACGGCCCGAGACTGCCTAAGACCCCCCCCCTTCTGGACCAAAACGGCCCAAGAGGCCTCCAAGACAAACAGGAGACAGCCCACGAGGGCCCCATTACAAACCAAGACGACCCCAAGACGGTCGAAGAAAAGGAGGAGTAGGAAGAGAAGTCGCAAGAGAAGAGGACAACGAGTCGGAGGAGCAGGTGGACGGGGGGAAGGAGGATGGAGGAGCAGGGGAGAGAGAATAAGGAGCGGGCGAAGGTGGACAGTAATTCATAGAGAACTACAAGGTAGAGGTAATTAGAGGAGAGGAAATAGGACAAGTTCTACTAGACTTCAGAGGGTGGCAATTCTACAGAGGGAGAGGAAGGAGGATAGTGGAAACGCGAGGGGAGGAGGAAGAGGCGATCGATGTGGAGGTGGGAGAAGGGGACAAGGAAGAGCGGGAGGAGGGAGAGGAGAAGAAGGAGGAAGGAGCGGGGGGAATGGGGTAACAAGCAGGCAGAGGAGATAGAGGTAGAGGAAAAGGACGATGACGCGGAAGATAGATGAGGACGAGGAGGAGGAGGAGGAGGATGAGGAGGAGGAGGAGGAGGAGGTACTGGAGAAGAGGGAAAGGGAAACATGAGGGGGAGGGGGGGGGGAAGGCGATGGGAAGAGGAGGTGAAAGAAGAGGAGGAAGACGGAAAAAAGAGCAGTCGGGGCGCTGTCTGGTCGTGTCTTGGCGAAGCGGTGTGCATCATTGCCCAAACACGGGCGTCGTACCCTCGAAACAAAGAAAAGCCAGCCTCGTCGCGCATGGAAGACCACAGCCAGCCCACCACATTGAAAATGACGCCCCACTGGTACGTCCAGATGTTCTTCCGCCACAAGCCAACATCGCTGTCCCGCTTCTTGTCGGCAGCGAGCGAGGGGGGGCAATGAGAAAGGGCAGGCATTCTCAGAAGGCTCGGGATTATCCCGGCCTTCTGAAGAAAAAACCTACGCCTCCCCCAGGGATACGGAAAACTTCCCAGAAAGCCGGGGGCCTTCTGAGAAGCCCCGCCCACTTCTGAGGAGGCCTTCGCCTCCTCGCCTCCCCCCCTGACCCGCCGCCGATCTTGAGCAGCAGCTCGTTGAAGACCCCAGCCAGTCCAGAAATCAGCGAAGCGGCCAGGACCAGGGCGATGCCGACCAGGAAGATGATGGGCAAATTTTCCACCTCCACTACCCTGTGTAGAACGGGGGAGAAGGGAGGATGAGGACGTCCTCCTCCTCCTCCTCCTCCTCCTCCTCCTGCTCCTCCTCCTCCTCCTGCTCCTCCTCCTCCTCCTCCTCCTCCTCCTCCTACTCCTCCTCCTCCTCCGCCTCCGCCGCCGCCTCCGTCTCCGCCTCCGCCTCCTCCTCCTCCTCCTCCTCCTCCTCCTCCTCCTGCTCCTCCCTCCTCCCTCCTCTCTCCTCCTCCTCCTCCTCCTCCTCCGCCTCCTCCTCCTCCGCCCTCCTCCTCTCCTCCTCCTCCTCCTCCTCCCCTCGCTCCTCCTCCTCCTCCTCCTCCCTTCCTCCTCCTCTACTCCTACTCCTCCTTCCTTCTCCTCTCCTCCTCCTCCTCCTCCTCCTCCTCCCTCCTCCTCCGTCTCCTCCGCCTCCTCCTTCTCCGCCTCCTCTCCGCCTCCTCCTCCGCTCCTCTCTCCTCCTCCTCCTCCCTTCCTAACCTCCTCCTCCGCCTCCTCCTCCTCCGCCTCCTCTCCTCCTCCTCCTCCTCCTCCTCCTCCTCCTCCTCCTCCTCCTCCTCCTCCTCCTCCTCCTCCTCCTCCTCCCCCTCCTCTTCCTCCCCTTCCACATCGAGCCGACGTAGGGTCTACATAGTTACATAGTTTCGTTCGTTGCCCCGGACGTATGAGACCCCCTCCCTCCGGATGCTCCTTCTCCTCCTCCTCATCCTCCTTCTCCTCCTCCGCCTCCGTTTCCGCCTCCGCCTCCGCCTCCTCCTCCTCCTCCTTCTCCTCCTCCTCCGCCTCCTCCTCCTCCTCCGCCTCCTCCTCCTCCTCCTCCTCCTCCTCCTCCTCCTACGTACGGTACCGGTGGAAGAAAATGGGCCCATCGGAAGAGCGCGCCCGACGGCGCCCCCTCCGCCGGAGCGCTGGCGAGCAGCCGGGCCGGCTCGCCCGCGAGCAGGCCTGGGGGCTCCGAGGCGGCCTGCGCCAGCCACGGCGGAAGCAGAGCCAACTCCGACGGCGAGCCCTGGGGTTAGGTCGGGCATGTCACCCTGCAGGCGGAATTGGGACGAAAAATAAAGCAATACCCCCAACATGCCCCCAACATAATCCGAGAATAGTCGAAACATCGTCCCCAGACTATTTGTTTTGACCAGTTTTGAATACCTATACGGCCGCCCTGCGGGCGATAAGGAGGTTCGGGGGGGATTGAGATCAAATGCCCACCCTGACTGCGCTCCAGCCTGTCACAAATGCATTGATGGATTGGGTTGGGTGGATTGGATTGGGTGGGATAAGATAAGATGGGACAAGATGGGTTGGATAAGATAATCAAGATGAATTGGATCGGACAAGATGGATTGGGTAAGATAAGCTGGATTGGATAAGAAAGCCCGCCGCAGGCGCCGAAAAACATTAATTATGAAATTAGCGACATGCGTTAGCGCAGGGACGCCCGGGGCACCCGGGACACCGCCCGGCCCAACTGGGACACTTCCCAGCCACCGGCGGACGGGAAACGGACTTCCGCTCCTACTTCGGCCTAGCTACAGGAGGATCACGCGCAGCTTCGCGTCGCCCGCACGCACGACACGAACACGAAACTGAAACCGATTTCCCGGTGGGGGGTCTTCGTTTCACTGCGATCTCAACCCACAACCTTCCGATTCCTGCCGTCGGGGGGCACAGGCCCGACTTAACCCTGGGGGCGAAGCGAGAAGGGTGGGCCAGAAACCAAACGACACCACCCCACCTACGGCCCCACATGCCTCAGCATATGCATGCAATCTGGCCGGGGGGCTTGTTCCGTGGCATACGATGCGGCCCCCGATGGGCCGCAGCGCAGCATGGAGGGCCGTAGGTGGGGTGGGGACGTTTGGCGTTCGGTCGAAAAGGGCGGGCCTTCTCAGAAGGCTCGGAGATCCTCGGGCCCTCGAAGCATTCCTCGAGAAGACACGGACAGCTTCTCGGGAGGCGCGAGGGCTTCTGAGGAGCCCCGCCGCCTCCTGAGAGGGTCGTCTCCTTCTCGCTTCCCCCCCTCGCTCGCCGCCGACGACTGCACAAAACGAAAAGCTTTCGGAGGTCCGCTCTGATTTCCCGGGTCGGCGCCGGGTCCCCCCTCCCTGGCGCCCAGAGCGCGCCGGGGGCGGCGAAGGGAGGGGAGGCGCCGCCAAGGGGGTCCAGCGCCGATCCAAGAGATCCGCGCGGAGCTCCGAAAGCTGATGCTGACAATCTGCAGTTGCTTCTCCTTCGGATGGTCCCAGCCCAGAAGCTGCGCGCAACGCGCCAGCGCTCGTCGGGGGACGTCGGCTGACCCGCCTCACTGACCCTGGCCAGACCCATCCTGGGCACAGGCTCAATGTCTACAGTGGGGGCCCGACCACAAGAAACCTTCCACAAGAAACCCAACCCTGAGACCCCAGGACGTCCATCGATTTTTGGTGTGGGAACGCCACGCTATCCATAGTAAAACCATCGAAACCCAAGAAACCCAGGGCACCCTGGAGGCAAGCGGGGTGTTTCTTGGCATGGGCCCCCACTGTAGGCCCCCCTGGCTTGGCCAGGGATCCTGAGCCCAGAATTGGTCCAGCCAGGATCCCAGCCACCAACGTCACGCATGCTTGACAGGGTCTGGACCCCAAGAGGTCTGGACCCCCGTTCCCTCGGATGGGCTTCTCCTCCTGGGTCGACTTTTGCTTGAGCTGAGGGGGTCTGACCCGAGGGGGTCGGGGATAAGTGAGGTTAGGGGAACGAAAAACGGCATAAACATAAACTTTCGGCGCTCCGCGCGGATTTCTTGCTCTCCCCGGCTCGCAGCGCGCGCCAGGGGCGCCGCCGGGGGCGCCGCCGGGGGGGGGGGGGGCCCAGCGCGGACCCCAGAACTCCGCGCGCAGCGCCACCAGCCCGTGCTGATGGCGCTCGTCCCTCTCCAGAGTCGGCGGGCGCCCCCCGAGCTCAGGGGCGCAGCGAGAGCTGCCACGTGCTCGTCCACGAGGCCCCACCAGGAGGACCCCGGGGGCCGCTGCCCCGCCGAGGCCCCGCCGCTGCCGGGCCCCGGGCCCCGCCCGGGCCGCTGCTCCGCCGGGCCCCCGCCTCGGCGAGGCCCTCCGCGGGCGCCGAGCTCTTCGGCCCGCTCACGCGCGGCGAGCACCACGAGCCACACCCCTCGCCCTCGCGGTCTGGGCCTCGACGAGCGGCCCCGCTCCGCGCGGGGCAGCGGCGCGAGGCCGCCGCCCTGCATCCACCACGGGGTCGCGGCCGAGGAGCCCGGACCGCGAGGCCGTGGCTACAGGTCCGCTCCCCGCCCGCGCGGAGCGCCAGCCCCGCCCCCGACACGAACTGCGTGCATCGGGAAGTCGAGCCTGCTTCCCAAAAGACTGCGTGCATTGGGACGTCGAACCTGCTTTTGTTGGAAGCAGGTTCGACTTCCCAGCGCACGCAGTCTTTTCAAAACAGGCTCGACTTCCCGCCCCAGCGGCCCACGTTCGCAAGCTGCCCGCCCGGGCTGCTCCCCGCCCGTCGGCGCCAGTGGGGAAACGGTCCTGCGGGGGCTCGCCCCGCGGGGTCCCCGGGGCCGGCACCGCTTGCCAGCCTCCGGGCCGGCCCCCCCTCCTGGGCTCAGGACTGCATGTCTCGAGTCCTCCCCCCCCCCGGAGACGTCAGACGCAAAACGACTCCAAATAAATCAAGACTGCCTGGCATCGAGTGGCGACTCCGGTGCGGGCCGGAGGAGGGCACCCTCCCTGGAGGCGGGGGGCTGCCCCTCAGCGACCGAAGGGGAAAGACCTCCGGGGAGAGAGATCGACGTCGGCTCCCAGCCCCACGTCGGCTATCGGAATCTCGCTGCACGTTAGGGAGCAACTTCTGTGAGGGGTTTGCAAGAACGAGTCAAAGCCGTCAAGCCCGATTAAGGACCACCACGCCGGAGTAATCCCAAGATGAAGCCCGATTAAGCTGGCGGGATCTGCCAGGACTGTGCCGGATTCGGACACGTTTCGACGACCCCGCCCAGCCACGAGGACAAGATGCCGAAGGGACAGGATCAATCGGCATCGAGTCGGGAAATCGGGTCGGGGGGCCGGGGGGGGGCGATGACGCCCGCGAGGCGTTCGTCCGCCCGCGCGACCGCCGCCTGCCCCCGAAGTCCTCTCTGCCCTCGATCTCCTCGATCGCCCCTCTGACGGGGGCTCCACTGACGGGCACTTTGGCCAGTGACCCGGCGAAGCCAACCCTCCCCGATGTGGGCAACGCTGCAGTGCCAGAAAGAGGCCCCAGAGCGGCAACTTTCGGCACCTTCCCCAAACACCCGATAGTGCGTGCCCGTTTCGGTGCCGCTGAACGGCTCTGGGCTGGCGGCGGCCGGAGCGCGGCCAGAGGCCGACGCGCGCGCGCAGTGGCCGGGGAGCCGAAGCAGCAGCAACGACACGCCGCCCCTGGGGAACCCACCAGCGTGCTGCTGCCGAAGGTGCACAAGGTCGCCGGACAAGCGCGCAGGAGCAGCACGCTGACGGGCTCCCGACGGCGGCGGGGCCTTGCTGCTCCTGCCCCCTCCCGAGCGGAGAAGCGCCTGTGCAGAGGGGACTTCGCCCAGGCCACGCGGCTTCGCGCGCCGCTCTGCGCGGAGCGTGGTGATCATTGTGTGCCATGGAAAAGAAAAAAGGGCAGGTCCTGAGGAAGAAGGGTCCTGGGCCTCCTTCTCCTCCTCCTCCTGCTCCTCCTCCTCCTCCTCAGAGGGCCTTTCGGGCCCGAAAAAAGCATCTTTCTTCCCCCTTCCACTTATCGCCCCCATGAATTTGCGCCCAATCCAGGGGTGGGTTCTGACCGCTGGGAGGCCCACGAAGGGAAGTCCGGTGAAGGGCATCGGGCATCGGTGTGGCCAGTTCGTGCCGTGGCGCGTTGGTGCCTGACACTGCGTGGGTCATTCAGCCTTGAACGATGGCGGCTTTCCGATGGCGCAGGCCACTCGATGCTGGCACGTGCTGGGCCACTGGCGGCATTCAACCTTGAACGCCCGCGCTGAGGTCGCCGCCGTGTCAACACGGATCGAACCGACCGTATGTTCGTCTCACTTCCGCCAGCCCTCCGCCGGCTTCGGCCGAGTGAGGCGGCATCATTTTGCTTCCGCCGTTCCTCCGCCGGGGAAGGAAAGAAAGAACTCGCGATGACTCGAAGGCGAGGCCCTGTCTGGAACGCACCGCATGTCTTTCTCCACTGAAGATCGGGTACGGCCGGACCCAGGGCAGAATAGCATCCTTCAAGAACATGATACCCTCCGCCAGCCAGACCGAAGAACACTCGAGGGCATCCTCCCCCAGGATGCACACGAACATCCAACAGACACGAAGAACACCAAGGTACCCTCCTTGAACCGATCTCAATCTTTTACCTCGGTCCGACCGGCTGTCGAAAAGGGGGTCAGAGAAAAGGGTTTAGCGAATGGGCGCACATAGCTTGTTTTCCCAGCGCCTCCAGGCGCCCGAGGCACCCATGTGTAGGGGGACGCGCCCGGCGGCAAGGCTAAAACCAGCTGCATCCGGCAGATGTCGTATACCCCATCCACACGTCTCGATCCCCCCTACCGCTTCGCATCTTGAAATAAAGGCGGGGGAAGGGAGGAGGGAGGAAGAGGGATGCGGAGAGAAGAGGGAGGAAGGAGGAAATAAGAGGAAAGAGGACACACAATTAGGAAAGAGGGGGGGGGAGGGGGAGGGGGGAGGGGGAGGAGGAGGAGGAGGAGGAGGAGAGAGGAGGAGGAGGAGGAGGAGAGGAGTGGGGGAGGAGGAGGATGGAGGAAGGAAGAGTGGGAGAGAAATCCCCTAAACGACCCCCCGCGACTGCACTTTAGCTTCTCCCCTGAAGAGCGGGAGAATGGAGGAAGAGGAGGAAGCGGAAAGACACATGAATAAACACTTGCGATCCACGGTTAGCTGCAAGAGCAACAACGCAAGAAGGAGGAGGAATGAGAGGAGGGAGGATTGGGGGGGGACGGGAGGGGGGAAGAAGAGAAGATGAGGAAGGCAGGGGGGGGGGAGGAACGACCCCGCCGCAACTGCACTGCAGAGGTCGGCGGCGAGCCCAGGGGGGGGGGAAAGGAGCAGGGGCGGGCCTTCTCAGAAGACTCGGAAGACCCAGGCGCTTCTCCGAGGAGTTCTCCAACCCCCTTCCCCGAAGGCGGACACAGAACAAAACCTCTCAGAAGGCGCGGGGGCCTCCTGAGAAGCCCCGCCGCCCTCTGAGAAGGCCTGCTCCTTTTCATTTCTCCCCCTTGCTCGCTGCCGAACTTGGAGAGGCAAAAAGGCACCACTGCCCCCTGGATCTCTCCCGGGGTGCGTTCTGACCAGGACCTCGAGGCGACTCCCGCGGTGGCGACGAGGGCCTCCTCCCAGGAGGCCCGAGAAGGGGAACACGGGGAAGGATCGAGGCACGGGCCACCCTGTCCCCCTCCGAGCACTTGGGCTCGCCGCCGAGAACTCGGGCTCGCCGCCGAGAACTTGGGCGTGGGCAGCCCTGTCCCCCTCCGAGAACTTGGGCCCGCCGCCGAGGAGAGGGCTCGCGGAGGGGGCGGGGAACGCGACAGCTCGGCGGCAGCCGCGGAGGGCCTCGCGCCGCGGCCTCGCGGGACGGGGCGGCCGCCGCGGCCTGCGCGCCGCCCCTTGCCTCCTCAGGGCGGGGCTTTTTTTTGGGGGGGGGGAGGGAGGAGGGGGAGGAGGAGGAGGAGGAGGAGGGAGGAGGGGGAGGAGGAGGGAGGAGGGGGAGGAGGGGGAGGAGGAGGAGGGGGAGGAGGAGGAGGAGGAGGAGGAGGAGGAGGAGGAGGAGGAGGAAAAGGCGGCGCGCTCAATGCTTGGGTCTCGGAAACTTCTCGACGCCACGGCTGGATCCGCCTCGAGACCCTGATCCTGATCGGAACGCGCTCCCTAGACAGGTCTGTGGGCCGATGCTTGAGGGCACCCCAAGAGAACGCGTGCGACATAATCAATCAACACCGAATCGGTAAGTCGGATCAATGCGAAACTTGCGAGAAGAAAGACACATCGGCAAGGAGTCGGAATCGAATCGTGCGTCGTACATGCCAGGATGCACAATAGCGCCATGCAAACGTCAGGCCGCATCAGATCGCCGCAACATTCAAACCGAATCGAATCAGGCCAGCCGAAATCGATATCGAATCAGGCACTTTGACGTGAACATATCATGTACCACGCCCTCGAACTGAATGACTTGCCATCCGAAATGTCGTCACCCCACTTGCCTCTTGAAACACAAGTCCCTTTCGGCACCAACACTCACTTACCCAACATCATCCCTGCAAGCAATATCAGCATCCCTGAAATCATTGATCGAACAAGTGGAACCCGACATGTCCTCCTCATCTGTCACGTTGGAAAAAGGGTCTAATGCTGTCAGAAGCTTTCTTGCTACCACACATGGGCTCTTCGGCGTGGATAACCCACTGTGCTTGCCACGCCCTCGATCTCAATCACTTAGCATCAGCGTCAGGGGGTAACAAATCCGCTGGCCCCCTTGTGGGGCCACCAGGCTGCGAGGCGCGGGTTCGCAGTTTCCAGTACCAGTTGTAGCTTGTAGTTTCCAGTGTTACAGTTCTGCTTCTTCCTGGTTACTGTAACTAGTTGATTGACCGCGCGAGGGGGGGGAAGGCCCAAACCAGATTTTTAGCGTCTCCTGGGCGCGTTGTCTGAATTGCTGGGGGGGCTCGAAATCCACACCCCTCACGCAGATCCGCGGGGTCAGGGTCCAAAAACACAGGGATTTGCCACATTTCTGAAATTCGGTGCCACCCCTCACGCAGATCCGCGGGGTCAGGGTCCAAAAACACATGGGATTTGCCACATTTCTGAAATTCGGTGCCACCCCTCACGCAGATCCGCGGGGTCAGGGTCCAAAAACACATGGGATTTGCCACATTTCTGAAATTCGGTGCCACCCCTCACGCAGATCCGCGGGGTCAGGGTCCAAAAACACAGGGGATTTGCCACATTTCTGAAATTCGGTGCCACCCCTCACGCAGATCCGCGGGGTCAGGGTCCAAAAACACATGGGATTTGCCACATTTCTGAAATTCGGTGCCACCCCTCACGCAGATCCGCGGGGTCAGGGTCCAAAAACACAGGGGATTTGCCACATTTCTGAAATTCGGTGCCACCCCTCACGCAGATCCGCGGGGTCAGGGTCCAAAAACACAGGGGATTTGCCACATTTCTGAAATTCGGCGCCACCCCTTACGCAGATCCGCGGGGTCAGGGTCCAAAAACACAGGGGATGTGGCACATTTCTGAAATTCGGTGCCACCCTTCACGCACATCCATCGCAAGGCGTGGTAACCCAAACTGCGAGAACTCCCTCGGCCCTTTAATCGCAAGGTGTGGTAACCAAGCCCGTAAACCATACACGTCTTACCAATCGCCAGGTGTGGTAACCCCTCTTGTGATCAGTTGGCTTTGCTGATCGCGAATCGGCTTCGCATGAAGTTTCGATACTGCTTCACGACAGCGCCAAGGCCTCATGACTTAGCTCTTCCATAGCCCATTCTCCGAGAGAGGGGGCCGGCGGCAGGGGGCGAAGCCCTTACGGATCATTGATGTGCAACAATTGTCTGAATTATTTCCGCGTTCTTGTCTTTTCGGGCGTCTGCAAGCGCAAGAGACGCGGGGAACACCCCACGAGAAAAACCGTGGACCTGATCCAATGCTGTTTGAGCAACCTCCCCTCTGGCGGTCATACTTGAATGAATGCGTGAATTGTGCGTCGTGACCTCTACGTTTGGCACCCGTGTTCTCTTCAACACCGTGAGGTAACACTATGCACGATCTGAACACCGCGTGCTACTGCACTTGGAGCTGCATCCTTGCGCATCCGGGTTTCATCGGACGTGCTACTCTGGCTGCGCGACAGCATTCCAAGCTGCCGCTCGCAACTTTGCCCCCCCAGGAGGCCCCGAGGGAGCCCGGGAGGACGGCGGCCCCCAGCGCGCTCTGTGTCACACTGGACTGCGCCAAGTCTCTCTTGGGACCAGCTCCTCCTCCTCCTCCTCCTCCTCCTCCTCCTCCTCCGCCTCCGCCTCCTCCTCCTCCTCCTCCTCCTCCTCCTCCTCCTCCTCCGGGGCCAGACAAGATATACTGTGAAGCACACCCGCCCCTTGCGCGCCTGTGCTCGTCCGCCTGGCCCGCTCTCGCAGACCTGCATATCCCCCCGAAAATGCCATCACTGGGGGAAGGTGCTGCGCAGGGACCGGCCGCCCCGGCGTCCTTACAGGCGTACCATGACATGTCCTCACAACCCGAACGACTTCTAAGAACAAAACGAATGCTCTTAGAACAGAAGCCCGATGTGTCAGAACGAGACAGTCTCAGCCAGAAGTGTTCTAAGAACATGTCGTGCAGACCACAAGAAGTTCTTAGAGCATTCTCTGGTCGGCCTATAGGCGAGCCAGGGCGCTTCGCCACTGCTTGAAAGTGTGGGGGGGGGGGGGGCATCTTTCCCTTCCGCTGGCTTCCGCCGGCAGAAGCGACCTCTCTTGACCTCGGCAGGCTCCCGCCAGCCTTCCGCCGGCTTCCGCCGAGGACGAAGGGCCAACCTCTCGACTTCTCGACCTCTCGAGAGTAGGGCGGGCCCTGGAACGACATGGATATCGCTTGCCAACCTGATATGTGGGGCCAGGCTGCTCCAACATGTGTGTTCCCATGCCTCCGAGACCCCAGAATGGCGATAAGCCTGCCGAATCTACATTGTGTCGAGCCGCGGGATGTTGGGGGACGACGACTCGGAGGGCGAGTTGAGACAACGGCAGCTCAAAACCGGTCCCCAGAGGGGCCCCCCAGAAGGCCAACCGCTCAACTGGCCCTCCTCCGAGACGACGACGACGACGACTGCGGCGGCGGCGGCGAGGCGCTCCTCGGCGTCGACGCGGACCTCCGAGGAGCTCCTCGTCGCCAGCGCCCGCGGGGGCGTCGCGTCCGCTGGGGCACTGGCGCACTCCCTCGCCTCGCGGGGGGGGGGGGGGAGGCGGGCCCCGCCGAGGGCGGCCAGAGTCGATGATCCTCGGAACGTGTGCGCTTTAGCGCCAGCGCGCGCTTGTCCACCGAGCCCCGTGAACACGACACGGACGACGCAGTCAGGGCAGCCCCAGGCGTCGTGCTACAATCGGACCTGGGCTTAGGTCGGGCATGTCCTCCTACAGGCGGATTTTGGAGGAAAAGTAAGAGATGGTTAAGAATTGCTCCCACATAGCCAACAATGGTTGAACAATCGTCCCCATACTATTTTTTAACTAATCTAAAATATTCCTCCTGGAGGGACGTGCCCGACTTACACCTGGGCCATTCAAGAACATGGGACCCTACGACAGCCAAAACAAACAGAACAGCCGAGGGCACCCTCCCCAGGACGCACAAGAACACCCAACAGGCACGAAGAACACTTAGGGCACCCCTCCCCGCACCGACCTCGATCGTATACCTCGGTCCAGCTGGATCGGTGGAGCTGAACCCCAAACCCCCGACGTTGACGTCATGTTTTCGTTCGCAACGTCGACCCCCTGAGGTCTGGACCCCTTCCCCGGGACCGCGGCTTTTCATCTTGAGTCGTTTTTTGACGGCCCCGAGGCCCGGTAAGGACCCCCAGAGACCGAGAATAAGGAAAAACCTCACGTGGTGATTTGTTTCACAACGCGAGGGGGTCTGGGACGGGGCGAGCACAAGTCACACATCCTGTCATTGCACCGAACTTGCAGACGTGCTGCAGCGGATCTTTGGCGTGGGTTTCTGTCAATGCAAAACCCCGAAACCGCGAGCGAAAAACGCAGCGAATTTCACGCGGATTTGTTGTTAGTCTTCAATCCTGGCCAAAAAATACCCGCACGACATGCACTTCGAAATCCAGAAGGAAATTCTCTAGGACACCTGGGCCCATCTCATTGTTTTCCGGGCGAAATCCGCTCTGCGGTGTTGGCGCCATGCCACATTATCGGAGGTTGCTAAAGGTGCCCCTGGCCCAAGGTGCCCCCGGCTTTCCGCTCCATTCGGGCGCTCCTGGGACCCTCTGGACCTCGTGAGGGGTGCTCTGGAGGCCGTGGCGGCCTCCTTGAAAACCCTGGGGGTACCGTGGGCCAGGGGCACCTCGTCTTGCATCGCCCACGGCTTGAGAGTGGTTGTAGATTTAGTGGCACTGCTGGGCGTGATGTCGTCGGCAGTCAGGGGAGGACGAGCACAGTGAGGCCGGGGCCTCTGTGGACTGGAGCCGAACGTGCTGCGGAGGGGCACCTCTATAGCCACACCCGACACCTCCGGAGGACCGCCGACCGAGGCAGCCCGCACACCGGCGCCCCCCGCAGCCTCCACCGCATCGGCCCTTCGGCGCGAGAGCCGGGCGGCGGCCGCGCTCCGCGAGGGGCGCGGGGCCGAGCGCCCGAGGCCCGTGTTTTTTTTTTGCTTTTATAAAATGTTTTAAAACAAAAAACTCCGGTTTCTGAAAATAAAAAAATGGCTTTTGAATTGAAAAACTGGTTTCTTGAACTCAAGAAGCGAAGCGCTGGAACTCAAAAACCCAGCCTCCGACGATCGGGGATCTTCTGACCCCGGTCGCAATCCAGACCCGGGCCAGTGCGGCCTTGCAGGATCCGGCAAGGTCCCGCAAGCTCCTGCAGGATCCCGCACCGACAAGCCCGGGTCAAGTGCGCCAGGATCCTGCAGTCTCTGGCGCTCTGACCGATCCCCGTTTGCATGGGCCCCCGCTTCTTGAGCCCCGAGACGATGCGCTTCGTTCCATCCGGGCGTTTTTCCGCACGGCCTCCGGGGGCGGCCAAGAGGAGGGCGTCCAAGACGGGGGGGGGCCAATCATGGCCAGCGGCATGTGCGCGGCCCGGGGGGGGGGGTGCCAGGGACGGAATGCAATAAGAGGAGGAGCCATGAAATCTGGGGAAATATCATGGCCCACGCCATGACATCCCCCCCCCCTAATCATCACCCCCTCCTGGCCGCCCCCCGCCTCCTGTCGAAGGGGGGAGGGGCGGGGGCGCCGTCGTCTGCCGTGCCCCGTCCTGCGCCATGACGGCCGTCCTGCTCGCCGCCCGTCCCTCCCCGCCCTTCCCAGGGGCCAGGGGCCAACACAAAACAGACCCGGACGCAAAACCGGCCCCGGGGGAGGGGGTACGGTGGAGGCCAGTCCACGGGAAACTTCCCACAAGAACGAAACCCAACCCTGAGACCCCAGGGCGTGCATCGACTTTCGGCGTGGGAACGTCGCGCCTTCCATCGCAAAACCATCCCTGACATGCGGCGTCCTGATTTTTTCAAGACGGCGTCCCCGGAAGTCCCGACCCTTTCCCGGGACCGGCTTTTCATCCTGAATCGGTTTTTGACGGCCCCGGGGCCTTGCTAGGGACCCCAAATGGTAGAACCTTGAGTTGCAACCTAAGCCTGCCCCTAGGTATTTCAGAATGGTTCCGAGTTTCCCCTGTTTGGTTTCAGACTGGTTTCAGACAGTCCTTTCTTTCAGCACTGAATAGCATGCTGGGTATACTACTAGTAGTGAGGTTAATCTACAGAACACTTAGCTGTGTCTGTTGTATGCTAACATTGAGGTTGTAGTATGTTAGTAGTCAGTACACAGAACTGTTAATATACAGAACGTTAATATTGAGGTTGATTGGGGTTAGTATGTTGTAGTCTGTGTCACGTGGTAGCTCTCGTCGGGTACCCCGCTCTTGCATGAACATGAATGCGATTCCCCCCCGCATATCCGAGCGCGACACGCTACTCCATAAAAAGTGCACGCCCCCAATTAGATAACGAGCATGAATTACAATAGGGGGATTTGGTAGAAGCTTCCGACTCGGGAAACTCATAGGAGGGAGGGCGGAGCATAAAACTGGAAAAGGGAGGAGCATGGGGAAAGAGTTGGATAGGGGAAAGATCCGACAGCGGAGGATTAGGCGGAGGGTAACTAGTGTTTTTTAGCTTCAATCGGTTACGATTTCTTTGCGTCGTCACGTTTTGCACCACTCTGTCCGCAACCGTCCTGGCTCAAACAATTTACATGTCGGCTCATGCCGCGTCTTGACTGGAGCCACGGTGCGCCACACATTGATTGTGTATGGATGGTATCGCTGGCTCTGGTTCCGAAAGTAATGAAGTTCTGATTGATGGTGGTGACGTGTCTGACGATCCACAGGCAGCAGTCGTGCCGCGCAGGATGCGCGCGGAAGTTCCTGGACGGCGGCGGGCAATCTTCCTTCTCGTTGTGTGTAATGCCGCCCTGTTCCCGAACTGGTGCCCACCAGATTTTCGCGGAGAGCCTGTGGAAGCGATTGGTTCCGTCTTCCTCAGTGGCGCCGTGCTCGCAGAGTGGACGCTGACATCGGATGCGGAAAATGATGAGATGATTTACATGGACAGTATAGCTCGCAAAATGGTCTCTGCGCGGGAGGTTTACGGCAATGTCTTTTACTTAGCTGTGGAGACTCTGGAGTTATTGCATCGCCTTGAGGTGGATGACCCCCGCAACCTCAATCCGATGCAGCTTATCGCACAGGCTGGGGACGCGCTCGCTGACAGAAGCCTTGGGGGACAATGCTCATTCGGGAACTGCATCACAGAGTGGCTGAGAGACGTGAGGCATCGCATCTTTTCAATCCGAGTGTGTCCTCGATTGTGCGCTGCAACGCTTCAGAAGAGATGGCAAGTGTTTCACGCCGTGGCCGTGACTAGAAAAATCAATAGAGATCGATTGTTCGGTGGTCCCTCGCCAGCTGAGCTCAGCAAGTTCAGAAGCGAAGTGGATGCACTCGCTAGGGTCCAACATTGTGGTGTTGTTCAACGGCGTGCTCATTTTATCACTGCTATCCCAGTTGCAATCATATTGGATTGGCTCTGGGCGTCACGGCACCTCAAAGATGCAGCCAATATCAATGACGCCAAGAGGGACTGGGTCAGGGTGTTCTCGTCGAGCGCGGACACTCGCGCAGCCATGCTGGAAGACTCGTCGGTCATGAATCGCGAGACGCTCAGGCGTGCTCGCGTTCGGCTGGATTGCGTTGCGATGCTACTCACCAGGGCCTTCTTCGCCAACATCCCCGCCGACCACACGAACTTGTACATTTTCTGTGATGGGAGCCCCCAGCATAGAGGCCTTGAGCTCTTCGCGTCGACGCTCGACGTGCACTTACCTGGACACCACCGTCGCATCTTGTTGCCCATGGTTTCTTTGGCGAAATGCTGCTTGGACACTCAAGGTATGGGGGGCTCGTGAAATTTGCATGGGGGTCTGTAGTTGGATGTTTGTCCGAGCGCCTTGGGACCCGATGACAGCGACTGGGGCGGGGGAGGATGAGAGGTAGGCGGAATGGGGGGAACGCAGAGAGGAGGAGGGAGGCAATGGGAGGATGGGGGTCGACAGATGAGGAGAAGGATGAGAGGGATGATGAGGGCGACGAGGGCGCGGGGGGGGGACCACGTCGAGGAACGAGAAAGGTGAGTGCGAATGACGAGGTGGATGAGGAGGGCGCATGCGATCGGGACAAGGCCGCCCCACCCCACCCCCCACTGAGACCCGAATGCAAATTTGGCGCCCCCATCTGCGAAGGGAAAGTTGCTGCTCTTGTCTGGCAATTATTCCTCGTTGTTGGCCTGGCTTTGCTCCGCCCACTGTGCAATCGAGTATTGTCGATCACCACTGACATGGGCACGGAGAGCATAATCCCAAACATTCACGATATGTTACCACAGCTGCTCCGATATTACGGATGCCCCCTACCAAGCTTGCCCGTGAGGACAGACAAATTGTTCCCCAGAGCGTTGCACATCCGAGGGTGGCGTCACACATGGGATTTAGTAATGCAGACTGCCCTCAATGGCTGCAGGTTCTGGCCAGGCTTCCTCGTGAAATTGAAAGCGATGGTGGCGTTCTTCCGCGACGTATCCAACGTGCAAGAACTTGTGCGGCACTTGCAGCGACGCGGCCGTGTGGGCGCTGCCCAGGTCCTCGGC